AGTTGTACGCGTTATTTACTATTTAGTCATCGACCAAGGTGCCGTTTATATCTCAACCTCTTGCAAGGAAACTCGAATTGGAATTAGTTTTAATTTTTGGCTTCTTATGCAGTCAAGGTCCAGTGGATTTGGAGGCTAGTAAACGACTTGCTCCACAATTTGAATATGTATTTGGTCATCTCATCCGCAGCCCCGAGTGACTTTCGGCTTAGTCCTCTTTTATGACAATTAATTAATCATATTTCAATCAATTTGTAAGGTTGGATGACTAAAAGCTTCACCTAATCCCACGCAAATCCAAATCAAATATTCCAAAAAGGAATTACACCTAGAATTCGGACTATATATTATGGCCCACGTTTGGCTCCTACTTTTTAAAATGAAAAAGGGTAGGATAGTTGTTGTTTTTTTTTTTTCTCATGAGTGGTTGAAAAAAAAGGAAAAGTTTTTTGTTTACGTGTAATATTATTTTATGAAAAATTGTATGGTTGAAAATAGAAGAGAGAAAAATAAAATGTAATTTAATATGGACCAAACGGGAGCTAAAAGTTGAGGTTCCATTTTTTAAAAATCAACCTTTTACGAGAAATAGTCCAAATCATTATAAGTTGGTCTATGTTTTTCATCTTCATTTGACGTGGGATTTTATTCTTTAATATGACCAAGTAAGATAGTGTCTCGTTTGAGCAAACCAATATTGAAATTTATGAGATCATTTTTTTCTTTTTTAGTATTATTCAAATTGAATTATTCATTGAAGGTTAATTTATTCTGATACCATATTAAGAGTTGTAGTTTAATATTAAAAGGTCAATCTTATTAAAAATAATAATTCACATCTTTATAAATTGATCTATATTTTTCATTTTTATTTGTTTTAGGATATAATCCCTTAACACTGTAATTATTTCAAATTCAATTTTAAATTTTATTCTTTCTAGGTTATTGTGGCTTGCTTCTATTCGATAGTAAAAAAGGAAATAATTAATCATAATAAAAATAGAAAGAAATAATATCACTGTAATGACAACACGAAATATTAAAAAATTTACATATTAGGCCACCAAAATTTATAAGTTTATCCTTTCCTAGTTTAATCTCTAATTTATCTGAAGAGTATAGTAATTTTTTCTAGTACAATTTCAAATTATCATTTTTATTAATAGTTGTACTTTACTTGTACAATGAATTTGACAATGTGTGAGTTGACAGACATCATGTCCATTGGTTTGAAAAATTGTTGTTGAATTCAATAGTTAGGATTTTTACACTTTACACATTGTCAAATTCATTTTACAAATGGTTTAATTCATATAAAGAAGGTGTTGGAAATAATACTGTGATTGAGGATATTACTGTTTAATCACAATCTTCCCATAGCATGCCAATGCCAATCACGTAATTGAAGGAGGCTAATTTACACGGTTTTCATTTCATTGTAAATTATTGATTTGTATTACATTTATACTATCTTGTAAAGCTCTATATAATGCGATACGATACACCACTGAAATTAAGGTAGATTTTTAATCATTCTTATGGTATCAGAGCCAAGTGGTTTAACATACATACCACATATCCTGTTCTTCTTCTTCTCTTCATGGCTTCTGAAACTTCTGCCACCCTTCTTCCTTTCAATACCTTAATCCACATGATCACTATTAAACTTTCCTCCTCAAATTATCTTCTCTGGAAAGCCCAACTCCTCTCTCTTCTTGAAAGTCAAGAATTATTAGGACATATTGATGGCACCCTTGTGCAGCCCCCAAAACTTGACGCTACCACTTCTCTCACGCCAAGTGACAAATACCTAGCATGGAAAGCTATTGATCAGCATCTCCTCAGTTTGTTACTTTCCTCCCTCACAGAGGAAGCCATGGCTGAGGTAGTTGGCCTCTCCACCACACGAGACGTGTGGCTGGCACTAGAAAATGCATTTAGCCATCATTCTAAAGCTCGAGAACTACGCCTTAAGGATGACTTGCAATTAATGAAACGCGGCAATAGATCGGTTGTTGAGTATGCCCGTTCCTTCAAAGCAATTTGTGATCAACTACATGCAATTGGTTGTCCAATTGATGGTACTGACAAGGTGCACTGATTTCTCCGCGAGCTCGGTACTGATTTCTATAGCTTCTCCACAGCACAAATGGCCCAAACTTCTCTGCCCTCATTTG